TTAAATATAAGACGCGTAGTAGGTATATCAGAAAAATATTAGTTTCATTTAAATGAATACACGTGAAAGTCTTAGACCTCATTATTTATTTTGATGTAAAATTAGATTTACGAAATATTGATTTTAGGATAAAAGTTTTCGTTATAAACGAATTTTATTTAAATTAGTTATTTAAATTAATATTAAAAATCTTAGATATCATTATCATTGGATTTAAATAGATATAAAGAAATCTGTTTTAAACGAGAAAAAGAAATATATATATATATATATATATATGATTTTTTTTACTGAAATTATCCCACCTTTTAAGTATTTTACTATTATTCGTAGTATTGGAAAACTGTATAATTTATAACAATTCTGAATCTACGTGACTTAAAACGCAGCCTTCATTTGATATCACGATCTCTTCGTGATATTAATTAGCTGTAATACATTAATTTCATTAATCTATATATATAAAAGGAAGTCGTGTTAGTTATACTATTTATAACTCTAACGGCTGTACGGGTTTGGATGAAGATTGGCGGAGAGATAGATTAGAACATAGACAGGACGTAGGATACTTTACATTTGATTGAAAAAGAAATAATAGTTGGTTCAAATCCAAAATCTTCTTTTCTACTGTCTTTAAAGAAAAGTGTTCGCCCGGTCAGATATACTTTTCTTATTCTGAAACTCATGCAGACGCAGTCACGGATAAAAACTCCTTACTATCTTCTTCTACCTATCAACTTCCCAGCTATAGCCAGGGTCTGCCTTACATATTGTGAATAGTTCTGGCTAATTGTTTTTACGACCGGCCGCCTGTCTGACATCAACCCTCTTTGGGAATGCATTAATCAGTGATATCTAAATACTCTTAAAAAGTACATATTACTCGGAAAAATCCCATTATTACTTGCCAGGATCGAACCCGCGCTCTCATGCATGAGAGGCGGGCCTTTTAACCACTAGGCCACCAGTGACTGAACTCCTTACTATATAATTTTAAAATACTGTCATATTAGACATTGGTTTTTGCAAAATAAATACCCCAAATAAGTTATTTTTACGCCATATGAATTATATGTATAAATAAGCAAATTATTATGTTTTATATATTATTATAAAAACTTCAATTAATTCTGATATATGGAAAACAAATCTTTATATAATTTTATTACTTACATAATATATTTTGATAGAAACATATAATTAAGTAAAAAGTTATTTATTATGCTATATCTTCATTCACACTGGAATCGTGTAATATTTGGTCAATGTCAATATTTTTATTTGTTGGACGAATAATGTTGAGTACTGTGTGGAGACACGAAGGAGATTGTAGAATGGAATAAAGATGTTTGTTTAATTATTATTAGTAAAGAAGACTAGTTATATTTTTAATTTAAATATTACAAATTAACAATATTTAAATTATAGTAAGATTATCTCAAAACCGATTTCTTAATGACAAAGTAACTAAAAAAGGAAAAAAAAATTGCATATCTAATGTCAAGACTTAAAAAATATATCCATCGATAGTTAAAACATTATAAAATGCAAGAGAAATTAGGTGTAAAACTTATATTTTCTAATATATTTATTTAATACTAGCTTTCCGCCCGCAGCGTCACCCGCGTGGAGGTCGGTTATATCGCGTTTCCAAGAGAACCTTTCAAAAGTCTGGGATGAAAACTATCCTATGTTCTTTGTCAAGGTCAACTCTATCTCTGTACCAAATTTCATTAATATCAGTTCAGTGGTTTAGGCGTGAAAGCGTAGCAGACAGACAGAGTTTCTTTCGCATAAATTATAATATTAGTAGGGATTAATTCTAAGTGAAAAAAATACCATAATCCCTAATACATATATCTAGGTCCAATTACCTACTAGTTTAATACTGCTTCTATGACATATCTATCAAAAATGTAATTTCTTTATTGGTAGATATAAATATATCTTATACATATATAAAATTCTCGTGTCACAGTGATAGACAGAGAACTCCTCTGAAACGGCTGGACCGATTTCGATGAAATTTTGTGAGCATATTGAGTAGGTCTGAGAATCGGCCAACATCTATTTTTCATACCCCTAAGTCATAAGGGTTGTTCACCCTTAATTATTTTTTTCGGCCAAAACGTTTTGTTTATATTTTTTTATAATGTAGCATTAAAAATACATACAACCCAAAATGTTTACTTTTTTATCACCAAGCCCTATTATTTTATATGGCAAAACAACGTTTGTTGGTCAGCTAGTATATACATAACTATCCGAGTAGTTTTAATTTCATTATTTCAAATGAATACTATGTTAAATAAATGTGTTTAATTTAATGAGAATTAATTTGGATTAATAAAAGAATATTTTTCAATAACAAATCTATGTATATATAAAAGTTAGGTTAAGAAATATTGCTACATTATCTTTAATCATTGAAGCCAGTAATGAGTTTATTTTCGCTCAATATGGGCAAATGACTCAATAAAATCGACCACTCTCAAAGATTACTAACATCAAGAAGAGTAATTAAGTAGAGTAAGGTTAGACGATTAAGAAAAATAATAATCTTCTATATATGTATATATAAAAATGGATTGCTGTTCTTTAGTCTCGCTAAAACTCGAGTACAGCTGAACGGATTTATCTTATCTTAGTCTTGAAATGTTTGTGGAGGTTCAGGGAAGGTTTAAAAACTGATTTTTTTTTATTAATTTCCGGGAAAACCCTAAAAACAGCGCTTTTTTATTTCCCATACAAACGTTTTTTTGACATTAGATTTGACAACTAACTAATATGTCAAAACAATTTTCAATATTTGTTAAGTCGAAGATTTTAAAGTAAATGATTTTTTTTTTGAATGATAGCTATGAATGTAGTATACATATCAAAACCTATTAGTAATTTTCTATTCACCAATTTTTTGAACAAAGTTACCTGTCTGCGAAGTCGCTATTAAGCGGTAAAACTGTCTTGATAATATTATTTCAAAGATACTTTTTCTCCTATAATATTTTTAATTCTTTAATATAAATTACATAACCTTTTTCATTTTAAACACAATCCGTTTAAACTACATATTATCTTAGTAAGATAATATGGATGACTAAAAAATTAATTAATAAATTTAATAGATTATATTGCTTTTTATGGGTACATGTGTGTAGTTAAACGTAGCCAATTAATTATAAGCAAAGTCGTAGAAAAAAACTAGTTTGTTATCTATGTTTTGCTTAGGGTGGTAAAAAGCGAAACCTCTCATCATTCCATATATTCACGGTGCGTGTGTCGGGTCCATCGTTGTAGTGAGAGGAGCTTCAACAGTGACTGTGACTTGTGACCCAGGTGTAGGTTTAAGGGACCCTAACTAACGTTAAACGATCACCTCCACCGTACAAGCTCCTCTCTTCACCATATTTGAAAAGAACCTACTAGCGCTGCCTTCGAAGTACGTTCTAAGAATGTATTAATATTAGTTCTGGTCAGGCCCAAGTCTTTTAGTAGGCTGTAGAGAGATTTAGCTGTTATACCTCTCGCTACCACATCTAATCACTTAAATTTCTTAACCTATAATCATATTATTCTAAAAATATATTGGCGTTAATTTCATTAATATATGTAGCATATTTATTTCCCATAGAGGGTTGATGTCAGGCAGGCGGCCGGTCGCAAAACTATTAGCCAAAACTATTCACAACATGTAAGGCAGACCCTGGCTGAAGCTGGAAAATTGCCAGGTAGAAGAAGATTTAGCATATATATTATAGCTTACCAAAACGAAAAAGTTAATATATTCGAATAATACACTTATGGTAAGCATTCAAATGTTTCTTCTGATGCTTATTTAACTAATTACAAAATAAAACAAACATTTAGTGTTATTTTAGAGCTGACAATTAAAATGAAAGATTTGGGGATAAACTATGGTTACTTAAAATCATGTAAATCCATTTTTAACCGACTGTCAAGAAGAAGGTACTGTATTTATGTAGTAATTGTATATGTTAGTTCATATTCCCCCACAAATCATTTAATTAGTTTGATATATGTATTGGTAAGTCTACACGAGTAAATCTAAGAAAAATGGTTAGTTAAGCAGCAATTTTAGTTAAAATATTATTATTATTCTATAAACAATATATATTTTTATATTCCTACTAATATTATAAATGCGAAAGTAACTCTGTCTGTCTGTTACGCTTTTACGCCTAAACCACTAAACTGACTTTAATGAAATTTGGTACAGAGATAGAGTTGACCTTGGAAAAGAACATAGGATAGTTTTTATCCCAGATTTTTGAAGGGTTCTCTTGGAAATGCGATATAACCGAACGTTAGATTTTCATAGTTATCATAAATACAAATTAATTCTCATCTAAAAAATGGCTTTATAAAAACTATTAATTTTAAGATTTAAATAAACTTAAAGAAAATGAAAATCTTTAATATGTTTTGATGGAATATTGGAAATGTATAAATAATATATAATTTGTAATATTTATTCGTTTTGTTTCATAAATATGTCAAAGTTATAGTTTTTGTATAATTATTTCATTTAATTATCATTATTACTTTCAACAAGACACAAAATTTCAAGTTATCTTTAATACGTAGTAATTTCATGTTATTCTTGTAGTAATATTATCTATAGATAATATATCTTCATTTGAACGAAAATCAAACATACAGTTTTTGTATAATTATTTCATATAATTATCATTATTACTTTCAACAAGAAGCTAAATTTCAAGGAATCTTTAATACGCTGTAATTTCATGTTATTCTTGTAGTAATATCTCCAGATAATACATCTTAATTTGAACTAAAATCTACATAGCAATATAAAAAATATGATAATCTAAATATGCTTTTACATCTAATTTATATGTATATCTGCTTGTACTCGACTTATAACACACATTACTTGAAAATTCAACTATACATTACACTAAAACAAATCTCATTTAAATCCTCTATTCATATCTAGCCTAAAACATATGAAGTCAAAATTAATATCCTAAATTAACAGCACTAACCTTTTCAACAGCAGGTTTCATTATAAAAGGTGTTCCTTGGACTGGAAACATTTGAGGCATCATAGGAGCTAGCAGCACTTTAACAGGCTGGCTTGAACAGCAGCAGTGATGACAGGATTTACAGTCTGCCTTCGTCTGAATCGAAGAATCAATCATTTGACTGGAACTCACTTCATCAGTACCAATTTCCTCACAATCCTTGATAGAATTTGTATCATTTTCTTCGTTATAAAGCCGTGGTTTTTTATTCAAATCTTTGGGTAACTCCAGAAGAGGTGTTTTTCTTTTCAAATTGGTTGGTGTTTCTAATAAATATTTCTTTGGTTTCTTGTTTTCTTTCGCCTCTGTGTAAGGATGGACCAGGAGTGTCTTCGGCCGTTTCTCTTTATCACCGGCCCCGAAGGGCTGGTTTAAAGATTTTGAATCCAATTTGAATGCTTGTTAAAACTAGTAAAAACTAATTCAGTTAAACTTATTTTTTTAGTCAAATTTTAACTTAAACACATAAGTACACAAACAGGTAGACACTACTATGTTTACAAGTCCACAGTCAAAACAATTGTAACCTTGACCCTATATTTGTAAACAAACAAACGTGACACAAACAAAAAATATATACAAAAATTTGTAATAATAACAGAATATACAATAACGATGAATTAAACAACACTTTTCATACAAAAAAATCAATTTTTTGATGTAATTTTGTTATTTTTTCTGTATATTAAGATCAATAAGACGTTCGGTCTCAATGGATGCTGGAATACAACTGAGATGAAATCGAAGGCGGGGTCTAAAGATCGTCTAGGAGGTTCACAAACGGACACGCCTATTGAGTCTAAATTATTTTATTGTACTCCACGAATGTCCAAGTTTTTTTAACTCCAGATAGCTTTAAAGACGATTTAACGTCAATTTTGTTAATTATTTCTTTCAATACGCCTTGCCTTTGTTTCATATCACAAGTATCAAAAAGTTAAAAATTACGTATTTTTGTTTAAATTTAAAATTATCTTAAATGTTTTTGAATATCAAATACATATTTTTAATTTAATTACCTTTTTCGTTTATTATTTGTTTTTGTCAGCTCTTTTTTATTCCATCTCTTTCCCGATTGTTTTAATTCGTTAATAAAACCTCAAACTGTAATTATATTACATATATATTATTGAAATAAAACATTCATAAATTAACATTAAAAATTTTAAAAAATTTAACACTTTCCTATAAAATTAACCTATGAATATACATAAATCAATGTGCACTCAAAGATAAATTCTGTATATATAAATAACTGTACTACTGTGTGTGTGTGTGTGTGTATACCTAATCTGTAGGGTGTGCACACGATGCGTAATTAATTACATAACTTTTGGTTAACTTTACTTAGAAGTTTATTAATATTTATGTTATATTAATTTTTATTTTGTCATATATGATCGTCAAATATCACGTCCTCAAATATCAATAGTAATTCATCAGTCACCCTGTATATAGAAAAAAACTGTAATGAAAGAAAACCCGTCAAAGATGTTTTCCGTGCAATTTATTACATACTAGCTTTGCCCGCGACTTTGTTCGCTTTCGTTTCATAATAAGAAATGTATAGCTGACCAGACAATTTGCTTCGATTTATAGGCAGTTAAGAAATAGATTTTAGATTTTATTATCAACATTTTTTACTGTACTTAATTCAAAAGTATCCTATGTCCTTTCTATGTTCTAATCTATCTCTCCACCAATCTTCATCCAAACCGGTACAGCCGTTAGAGTTATAAATAGTGTAACATTAGTTTAGACTCTACGACGCCACATAGACGGACAAACAACAAACCTATAATACACCTTTTTTGTCACAGTCAAAGAAATATTAGCTTTTTAATGAAATTCTTTCAGTACTTTTAACAATTAATAAATAATAAGGATTGAAATAAGAAATGTATTTTATATTTTATTTTTAAGGAATTATAATATTTCGTAATTGAGTAAGAATTTAATTATAAAAATTACTAAAGTAATTATAATATTGAATAAGCAATAGAAGTAATACATAACTAAGATGATATCTTAATAATTTTAAGAATGTTTGATATATTTTTAGAATTTGAGAAAATTTTTAAACTTATTTTAGATACATTTGTAAATATTATGAATTGAAAATGTTTTTCAAACACAACCTTACTTGAGAAACGTATCTCAATTTCAAACACATATTTTATTGTTTTCTTATATTTTAAGACAAAAAAGTCAGTGGTGGCCTTGTGGTTAAAGGCCCGCCTCTCATGCATATGGGCGCGGGTTCGATCCTGGCAAGTACCAATGTGATGTTCCCGAGTCATATGTACTTTATAAGAGTATTTAGACATAACTGATTAATGCTGATTACCAAAGAGGGTTGATGTCAGTCAGGCGGCCGGTCGTAAAAACAAATAGCCAAAACTATTCACAACATGTAAGGCAGACCCTGGCTAAAGCTGGGAAATTGCCAGGTAGAAAAAGTAAGATAGTAAGACAGAAAAAATTGATTTCGGATAAAAAAACAATAATAAATGGAGGCGCATCACAGGAGCTGTTTTAGCCAAAGAAAATGCAGACATCATGACCACTCTGTCAAGAGTGAACTTGACTATGGAGATTTTTAGTATTAAAATTATGGGTATAAAATTACTTCAACCATTTTAACATTACCTAAAATTAATTTAATTTTATTTTAGAAAATTACTATTAATTTGCAACATATATATAAATATATATATATTGCTTAAGGTACAACATATTGAAGAGACTAACAATAATATTTTAAACGAAAAAATATTTGTGACTGTAAGAAATAATACCTCTGGATAATATTATTACATATTACAAATTTTTAAATTCAGTAGAAGTCAGGTTAAAAATACTAGTTTAATTCAATCATCGTTGAAAATTAAGGCAATAGTACACTTTATACTACCTTACCAAAAGTCATCTTTACTTAGACACTGAAAGTAAATAGTTTATTCATAAACCTTACTATAAGTACATATTAAAATAAATTTATAACGAAAACGTATAAACTGACAGTATTAAGTCTTTTTTTAGCCTATCAGAGCCCACTGCTGAGCTGCCTCTTCTCACATGGAGAAGGTTTGAGCATTAATCACCACGCTCGCTCAAGACGGGTTGGTGATTGTATATCTTCTATATATATAAAAATGGATTGCTGTTCCTTAGTCTTATTAAAACTCGAGAACAGCTGAACGGATTTATCTTATCTTAGTCTTGAAATGTTCGTGGAGGTTCAGGGAAGGTATAAAAGCGGAAAAAAATTGCTTACATAATTACTGGGAAAACCATAAAAACAGCCCTTTCCTATTTCCCATAAAAACGTTTTTTTTGACATTAGATTTGACAACTAACTAATAAGTCAATCATTCTGTCGCACTTCAAAACACGGAGATTTACGGCTTACAGGTAAACTCCAAAAATATAAATAAAAAAACGTAATAGATATTTCTTGATTATAGGGCGATACGAAGTTCGCCAGGTCTTCTAGTATTATATGTATATTATTTAGTCTACATTACTTTATTTCCTGGTTAAAAATAACACAATTTTTACCTAATCACCCAGGTGATAAAATAACAAGACCGACAGACACTCACATCTAGTCTGCCCGTAATCACAGTTGTAAAGTAACCGAAACGTCGGGAGTATGTAGTTTATAATCAAAAATAAAAATCGCGTAGTAAATCCGAAAATTAGTTTCATTTAAATGACTCGCGAAAATCTTAGATTCGATTCTTTACTTATTATTCCATGTCTTCTTCTTCTTCCTGACAATTTCCCAGCTTTAACCAGGGTCTGCCTTATTACTTATTATATATATTTCATAGGTTTAAAGAATTTAACTCTCAGAAACGATTGTCATACCTCTATATCACAAGTCAATGGACTGCTATTCAAAAACCATAAAGGGTTTCAAGGGTTCCCGAACATAAATTATGTTCAACGTAACTCGTAAATCCACAGTACATTAACGTCGCCTGCAAACAATTATAATATATAGGCTTTTAATACGTATTTATATCTACCAGAGAATAATATTCATTGATTAATTCTATTCAATCCCTACTAATATTAAAAATACGAAAATAACTCTGTCTGTCTGTTACGCTTTCACGCCTTAACCACTGAACTGATTTTAATGAAATTTGGTACAGACATAGAGTTGACCTTGAGAAAGAACATAGGATAGTTTTTATCCCAGACTTTTAAAAGGTTCTCTTGGAAACGCGATATAACCGAACTCCACGCGGGCGAAGCTGCGGGTAGAAAGCTAGTAGAATATAAATTACAATTAGTTCTTAGAGAGTTGATGTCAGGCAGGCGGCTAGTCGTAAAAACAATTAGCCAAAACTATCCACAATATGTAACAGACCCTGGCTAAAGCTGGGAAATTGCCAGGTAGAAGAAGATTTTATATTAGACATCACACACAAAATTGTTTATGTGAAGTACAAAAGCAAAGTAAGTGAAAGTAACCCTAGTGCTCTGTGAAGCTAATTTCGAAGGCAATCTTTAGTGGATACTACGGACCGTAAACATTTTTCATTCAAAATTCTTACGTAATTTTAACGTATTATTGAATGAGAGACGTAAAACTTGACGTATATAGTGTACGCGAACTAATACTAAAGGTATTTACAACTATAAAATGTCGGGAATATTTATAGTAGAAAAGAAAATATATATTAAAACATTACTTCAAGTTAACTTAAATACATTTAATCTAATTTTTCCTTTTTTTTCTTTCTATTAGCTGATTTTAAATATTAGCTATTTTTTATATTCATTTCTAATCTTTTTCGGTTCTCTACTTTCTAATACTGTTTTAACCATTCCATGGTTGGTGTTGAAATTTAATTGACTCAGAATTTTTACAATCTGGAAAAGTTTTCTATTGGTAGTTGATATATCTTCTATATATTTAAAAATGGATTGCTGTTCCTTAGTCTCGCTAAAACTCGAGAACGACTGAACGGATTTATCTTATTATAGTCTTGAAATGTTTGTGAAGGTTCAGGGAAGGTTTAAAAGCTGAAATTTTTTTATTAATTTCCGGGAAAACCCTAAAAACAGCGCTTTTTTATTTCCCATTCAAATGGTTTTTTTTTGACATTAGATTTGACAACTAACGAATATGTTAATCATTCTGTCGCACTTCAAAACACGGAGATTTAATGCTTACAGGTAAACTCCAAAAATATAAATAAAAAAACGTAATAGATATTTCTTGATTATAGGGCGATACGAAGTTCGCCAGGTCTTCTAGTAGATAATAATTATGACAATGAAATTATCGAAATATTTGGGTTATAGTACAATAAATCTAATTTACGTAGTTTAATTAATTATCCATAAATGTATAAAGAAACAAATGAAAACTA